CTCCCCACACTTGCCCGTCCTCCCCGCACACGCCCGTCCTCCCCACACTCGCCCGTCCTCCCCGCACTCGCCTGTCCTTGCCGCTGCCGTTCCTCAGGTTCACGTCAGTGCCGTAAGAAATGAGGATTTTCACGAGCCTAAAGGAAACGCGTGCAAACACGGCCGGATAAGCAGCTGCGACGGGCAGGGACCCGCGGCCGGGCGGCTGGTCAGAACGCACTGGGAGATGCGAGACACCGCCCACAGCGCCTCCCTCCCAGCTCAGAGGCAGGCTGGCCTCGGAGACCCGCATCACTAACCAGAAACCAGAACACTACCTCTCCCCACACACTCCCCCAAAACAGGGGGGTACCCTTTCCAGGAATTATTCATTGAAAGCGAACTATGCCTTGTCATTGGAACCATCAAACTGGAGTTCGCTGTCACTTTAACGACCAGTTAAATATCTGTTACAGTGGCAGCACTTCATGAAAACGAAGTTCTATTTTGAAAAAATGGGTCATCGTTAAAATATAAACATGATTGAAAAACAAGCTGTTGGTATTTAAGTCCCTCCGTGTGGAATAGAGAGGATGACGTGGGTCACTGAGAATTAGGCCTCAGCAACCCACCGGGGAAGTGTGTTTTCCAGAATTAATATCCTTCCTCCCTTTTTTCAAAAAAAGAAATTTAAATTCCAATGACCAGTTTTCCAGGATATGGGAAGTGTGGCTCAATGGCGACCTCTCTCCCTCACCGAGTGCTTAGGCACCTGCAGTCCCTCTGGCTGCTGTGTAACTTCAAGAGCCCAGTGAGTGTTGGGTGCAGTTTGGAAAGAGAAGAAAGTGGTGTTCCTCTCCACCCTCATCCCTCCTGCCCCAGCCTGGCTGCAGTCTTTGGAGAAGACTCCACCCATCACTGCAGGTAGGAGAGGAGGCCCGCCCATCACTGCAGGTAGGAGAGGAGGCCCCGCCCATCACTGCAGGTAGGAGAGGAGGCCCTCCCATCACTGCAGGTGGGAGGGAAGGTCCGCCCACCTGGTGTACCCTTTCTGTGCAGCCACCATCAGCGCCGTGAAGCCCAGCCTGTTGGGAACGTCCACCTTCACGGTGCTGGGGAACAGAGAGGAGAGGTCAGCACGCCCCCCACGGCTGCCTGCAGACCTGCAGCTGACGTCCCTCTGGCCCAGGCGGCTGAAACGGTTCATTCACCGAGAATCCCAGTTGCTTCCGGGCCGCTCCGCTTTTGTTGGCTTAGGCTGCCCTGCCGAGTGCATTCAAATGCACAGGAAAGGGGAGAAAACTGCTGTAATTCCACTGCAAGCAGGCGCTCCCTTCAACTCCAAACATCCCCCGAGCTGATGAGACTATGGAGAACACAGCCCCTCAGATGACAGGGGGTCTCACCGGGGACTCGCAGCTCCGGGGACGGGAACCCCACTGGGGGCGCCCCGCTTTGCCCTGGCTCCCATGGCGCCCACCCGCAGGCAGGGCTGCTGCAGAGGAAGCAAGTGGGCCCCTTCACACCAGCTTAGCGCTTGGACTTTTGTGGGAACCTTCTCTTCCCCAGAGGACAGAGCCACTGGTTCCGGAAGAATCCTTCCTCCTGGCCGGGTAGAGGAGGAACGCTTACCTTTTGCAGCAGCATGGAGGGACCTGGAGAACATGGCTCAGTGAGCTAAGCCAGCAGACAAGGACAAGCCCCTAGGATGTCACTTACATGTGGAATCTAATGAACAAAATAGGCCAAACCGAGTGGGAACAGACTCGGATAAGAGAACAGGCTGCCGGCTGCCGGGGGGAGGGGAGGGACGGGAGGAAAGGCGAAGGGGTTAAGCAAAGAAAAAACCTCCCCGACAGAGACAACAGCAGGGTGACGACCAGAGGGAGAGGGGGCGGGGGAGGGGGCGGAGGGTACAGGGGGCAGACGGTGACGGAAGGGGACTTGACTCTGGGTGGTGAGCACACAGTACCACATGCAGGTGATGTGTGGTAGGTTGTACACTGAAACCTATTATTTTATTCATCAATGTCACCCCATAAACTCAATAAAATCTTTTTTGAAGGAAGTGGGGAGCACAATCACAGCTACCACAGCACCAAAAAAAAGAAAAAGGACCCAGATAACTATCCAGGTTTCATTCAAGAGGCAGCGTCACCCCCACCTGCAGCCCCGCAGCACCCTGTCCCCGGGGAGCTGGCGCCCTTTGCGTTAGAAACAGCGGGCTCATCAGGAACCAGGCGGGGCTTTGGGGCTGAAACTGGCCTAGAGGCTACAGCAGGACTTCTGGGAAGAAAACATGATACTGAGACCTGTCACTGCCTTTCTCGGTTTTCATTAAATAATTACCAAACGGAACACTGACACGGGGCGCGACCTTCGTCTTTATTAACTACGCTGAGCTCCCATCGGTCACCTGAGGCCCAGGTCGGAGCCCGGGTCACAGGCAGGGGGCACGTTCCGAAAATAAGATACAGCTGCGCCGTGCGTTTCTCTGCAGCACGTGGGCGCGAGACATGCAGTAAAATAGAAGAAGGAACGGCAGCGTCCTCACCCTCCTCGGAGGATCCCCAACAGCAACTCCTCGTCGTTCACGTTGACCGCCCGATGGAGGTGCTCGCTGCTCATGGGCTCTCCTGGGGAAGCAGACGGAGCCGTCACGTTTCCACATGATAAGAGAAGAACATTTAGCCCGGCCGGCGTGGCTCCCAGGTTGAGCACTGACCTAGGAACCAGGCCCGGGATGTGGGCTCAATCCCGGGGTGGGGGGGGGGGGGGGCGGATCATTTAGCCTGGCCGGCGTGGCTCCCGGGTTGAGCACTGACCTAGGAACCAGGCCCGGGTTGTGGGCTCAATCCCGGGGTGGTGGGGGGGTGGGGGCGGATGTGCAGGAGGCAGCCCATCCATGATTCTCTCTCATCAGTGATGTTTCTCTCTCTCTCCCTCTCCCTTCCTCTCTCTCTAAAAAAATCAATTAAAATACTTTAAAAAAAAGAGAGGGAGAGAACCTTCAGATTGTCCTAAAGGCCTGGGACATTCCCACGCGATGAAAGTACAGCTTCGCGGCTGTTCAGTCACATTGGAGAGAGCCTCTCGGGTTCTGTGAGGCTGAGCAGGTGCCTGATGTGCAGGGAGGCGCTCCCACTGTCACACGCGCTGGGCTCGTTGCCACGCGTCTCTGAACATCTTCACAACCAACAAAGAAGGCCGCTGCTGTAACAGCTTCAGTTCTCCCGGGAGAAAAAGTCCGCATGGGCCTGTTGCCCCGGAGCTGGGGGGCGGGCGGGGGGCAGGGGCTCAGCCCAGAGAAGCAGGATGGGGTGACAAAGCCAAGTTAGGGGAGCGAGCCCACCAACGGGCGGAGCAGGAAGCCGGAGCCTGAGGGCCGCATAGGACAGGGAAGTGGGCAGGAGGTGGGGGGTTGGGGGGCAGACAGGAACTCCCGGAGAGGGAAGAGGCAGAGGGCGGGCGCAGGGTGAGAGAATGAAGGGACGAGCGAAGGAAGCCACCGTTCAGGCACTGACTTCACGGCTTCATCTGCCTCACGTCCAGGACTCCAGCCCCCGACCACCATGCGGAAGCCTCGTGGTCTGAACGGCGAAGCTCAGCTCAGCGCCCAGCACGCGGCTGTGGTTGAGGGGCAGTTCCCGGGCCAGCAGCGGCCCCCGTTCTCACGCCCACCCCCTCTCCCGGCGCCCAGCCCTCCCACCCTGCAAACACCTGCCTGACCCACAGGCACGGAGTCTCGCCCATTCATTCAGCAAGTGTTTATTAGGGAACTCACAGGCCAGGCTTTGACCCCGGGGTGCAGAGAGCATGAGAGAAACGCGTTTCTCTCCCTTGCCCCTGACCCCGTGGCGCCCACTCTCAGCCTGCGGGTACTCTCAACCCTCAGCGGAAAGGCCAGCGCCCACCCCGCTGTCCTCCCCCAGCACCGCCCCAGCCCGCCCCCAGCCTGCCCCTGGGGCTCAGCCCACCCCCCTGCCCTCTCGCCCTCCGGCCTCCGCCAGACGGGAAGTAAGATGCCCTGTCCCTGCTCCCCGCGGAGGAAGGATGCCAGTCCCGGCACAGGGGCCACGGTCTCCCGGTTTACGGCAAACTGGGGAGCAGGGAGGCAGAGGGATGAAGGGTCGCTGTCGGAGTGGCCTTTAGCTGGTGCCCTTTCTCCTTTTTGGAAAAGAAATAATTTAAGCCCAGTTAAAAGTGTTTTGGAATAACAATTCTGTCTGCCAGGGCAAACCCTAAAGACATGTCAGTCCTACCTCCTTCCCATCATCCCACACTTACATTCAGAGCAAAAGCTTCACATAAAAGCATTGAGAACTGTCCGAGGGCAGTGCCCAGCCACCCCAGAGGGGCCATGCGCAGCCGGGCGTTCCACTGGGGGCCATGGGAAGGGGCAGGGCTTTGCCCAGGAGACACTTGGTCAAGGCTGGCGGTTGTTGGTTGTCACAGCTTAAGGGCTGGTGCTGCTGGCATCTAGCAGGTCAAGGCCAAATGTCCCTGAACGCCCTACAGTGCACAGGACGCCCCACAACCAGGAACCACCCAGGCCCACGGCGTCCACGGCACCGAGGGCAGAAACCTGGGCCCGAGGAACCACTCAAAATGCTCAGTTGTGAGACCCACGCTGCTTCCGTGGACAAGCGCGACCCACAAAGGCCTCCCCGCCTCACCCCCCGGAAAGGGACGGTCTCATCTCACCAAACAGCCCTGCTCCTGAGTCTCCTAAAAATTCACAAACAAGTAATTTGCATAGAATCGTGGAGAAGAACACAGGAAGTTCATCCCCTTTGTACTAAGTTGTAGAAAATGGCCTCCTGGCTGCAGCCCTACCCACCAGGCTCTGCCTAGGACTCCACGGAGCTTTTTAGCTCCTTCAGCCACACCCTGAGCGCCAGGAGGCTGGGCAGCTGTCCCTGGCCCCCCTCCGGCCAGGGCCTCCCCGGGTGTTTAATGCGCTGAGGTAGCAGCCCGTTCCCTGGATGCATCCGCTCTGCTAAGTTTAAAAAAAACATTTTGATTTTATTGATTTAAGAATCGTGGACCAGCTGCCTCCTGCACGCCCCCCACTGGGTTCCCAGGTGATTCTAATGTGCAGCCAAGGTTGAGAACCACTGCTCTAGAAAGAATGGCTCCCCTTCGGCCCTTCATCTGGGGCAGCGATTTTCACCGATTTTCACCGGGTGTGGCCGCAAGAATTGTCAAACATGCAGTACCTGACTATTTAGGCAGGGGCACT